TTGGGGACGACGTTTTGTTTATTGAAATATCTTTAAATAATATTTTTGTTATTTGTTTATTACAAGCTTCCCTACAAAATAAAAGCAGGAAAATCAAGTAATTGTAGGATTTCAATTTTTTATAAATAATATTATTATATGTATATGACAGACCAGACAAAATGAACAAATAATTTTGTGATACAAAGTGATCAAATTTACTTAATGCCGCCGCCATTGTACTACTACTAATCTAATGTGATTGTGATATCCATCATCTCTTGATTATAGTAAATTTTAGAAATTTTTTTATCTTTTAAGCATGCAGCTTCTCATTTATCCATTTTAGCATATAACGTCTTAAAAAATTAAAAGCTTTACCCATATAAGACATGTAACTTCATATGTAACCATTGAAAAATTATCCAATATATTTTATCTAAATCAAGGATGGAAAGCTTCAAAGCATAGCAGTGATGAGGTATGAATGAATATAATTAAAATTAACAACATATATGAATACCAATTAATTATCAATTAATTGTTTAATTGTTTTTTAGATTACTTGTGTTTATTGTCATAATAAATGAAAAGATGTTTCAACTTCAGATTTTCTTGGAGCATTACCACCTGAGCTCTCAATTAAATATTTAAATACTATGATGATGATTATAAAGTATTAAATTCTTGCATCCTCATCAATAAACAATGACATAATACTAATATTCAACCTTATGGAAAAATACATTTTGTTCTAACAACAGCACCAAAATAATAATTAATTGTTTATTAGAAGAGGATAAGGATTTCTTAACAAGGAATAGCATTAAATTAGATTTTAAATTGTTGGATAAACCACCATCATGTAATTATGCTAGATTTTGCACCTGACTTTATTTTCTTCAAGGTTATTTGTTTAAAGGCCTAATTAGAACCTCAGAGTTAAATAATTTATGAAAGATTAGTAAAATTTACCTTAGATCATTCAACAAATATCAGAGAGTTGGTTACTTTTGACATAGATCTTCATCAGTTAAATAATCATCATGAATTCAAATTCAATAATATCTTTCAGAAACTTAACATATTAGATTGTAAACTTACTGGTAATTATGAACTTATTGGTAATTAGCAAATATTTGTGAAAATATTCAATCATTAAAAATTGATATTAATTGTGATGATGGATTTGATTATCATAAGTCTGACAACTAATTAACAAACAAAATCAAATAAAGAATTTGGTCATTTGTTCATCACATGATAAAGGAACTTTATCAGATAATTTCAAAAAAGCAATCCTTGTTCATTCACAAACAATAATTGATTATTCTATAGTGCAGGACACCTAGTCCCACAACTTTTTATTGGTCTTGTATATCCTTTAGTATACCAGAAATGGAAATGTAACACCAAAAAAACAAAACATGATTTTGAAGCTAAGACCTTTCTCCACAAAGCTACGATTTCATTTTGTTGATATGTCACATTACCATGGAGAGATCAAGCCTCAAAGTTGCACAAGTTTACTATGTTAAGCCCAAAACTGTCGCGTTACACGCGATTTATATATATATAAAAATGAACAAATCGAAACAAAATAAAAGTTTTTGAATTTTTAGTTGATGATCACATCCATATTAGGTAACCCAATGTTTATTCTTATTGCCGATTTTACTATTTATGGAATGACTAGGAAATATCACATGACAAAACAATTTTTATTGCATTTTTGATTGGAAATTTTTTCCCAAAATTCGTCGTCGTGGCGCAGTAAGTTGCGGGATTAGGTGTCCTGCACTGTACTGTACATAAAAATACATCCAAATTTCCAAATATTCTGAAAACTGATAAAAAATTAGATTGGGGCACACTTAGTGGAGTTGTTGTGGATAATGTTTTATCAATTTTGTGGATGGACAATGGCCCAGTAACAATGTTGTCTACAATTCATGAGATTACTGGACCAGAAAATAGAATAGATAAAGAACGTCGTCGTCCAAGAACCACAAGCACCAATGCAACCAAAATTAGACATGTATTTGGATATGCAGCAAGAAAAATATTGCCCATCCCTAAAATAATAAATGATTATAATAGTTATATGGGTGGCGTAGATATAGCTGATCAATTACGTGGTTATTATGCTACTCAATTGACAGCCAGGTGCCGATGTTTTTTTGGTTACTAGATACTGCAATTGTCAACTGCTACTTAATCCATAAAAATTGCAATGGAAATTTGGATCAAAAAGATTTTAGAGTAAACTTGGCCTGGGATCTAATTAACTCTGGTTTAGATAATAAAATGATATTAATATTAGTAGGAATTCTTCAAGGAGCAATTCAAGAAGTAATTCAAGAAGTAATTCAAGAAGTAATTCTAGAATGGCCTATAGAACAACAAGTAACTTTGCTTTACCTACAGAAAGATTAAGGTTTGGTAGGCATTTCCCTGAAATGGGTCCAAGAAAAACTTGTATGTGGTGCAGATATAAAAGAATAAGAGAAGAAGGGAAATCTTTGGGAAATGAATTAAAATCTATAGTCTATTGTATGTTATGTAAAGTTCCACTATGTTTCAAAGAGAATAGAAATTGTTTTACAGATTTCCATACACTAGAAATATAATAAATTAAATAAAAATTCAATAATAAAATTCATTAATTAATTTTGTAAAAAAATATATATATATATAAAATTTATTTGAATAATAATAATAATATTATTAATAATAATAAAATAAAAATAATTAAAAAAAAAATCATATTGTTTCTTCTGATCTAAAAGTGTCTTCCTTTGTTCTAAGTTGAACCTCTTTTGATCTAAATATATCTCCTTCATCTCATCCATCACTTTCTTCCACATTTCTTTTTCTATATCTTCTCCTATCTCTTCTCTTAAAGCCTCTTTTTCTCTTAAATGTCTGAGAGTTTTTTGAAGTTTAAGATGTCCAAGAAAGCGAGTTAAATCATTATATATGCTAATTTCATCTGATATGATGATATTAGATGATGATAACTCAGCTTCTTCTCTCATTCGATTACTAATGTCATGTTCGGAATTAATGACTAAAATACCAATTGATGTATAATCTGGGTATATAGCCATAACACCTCTTAAATCACGAACAACACAAGGATAGGTTTTGGCATGCTATAAATTAAAAAATATATTAAAAATATATTTAATAATACATACATATATTAAATAACATATCTACCTTGCACTGAACAACCAAAACATATTTTTCATCCTCATGAACAAACGCTCCCGCCAAATCAACTCCACTATCTCCAGAGGATCTAAAAAATAAATATATATATATATATAAAGTAAGCATTGTTTCATAATTATCAAGAAGCAAAATAAACGTTCATAACAAGTTGTCCACAAGTAGTTTAGTTTTTTTTGATTTTTTTGTGCGCAATAAATTTTTGTGATACATTTAAATTTGAAATTTCGTGTTACCAATAAAAAATCCGAATTTATTAGTTAACCGTTTAAGGGATAAATAAAAAAGATTTTTCCTGTTTGTAGCATAGTACTGGGGGGAATATGAATTGCCATGTTAAGCTTGGATTTTTTTTGACACGGTACTCAGTTGCCTTCAGTATGGTATGATATCCAGATTTTTCTGATGTTGATTGTAGATCTTTTTTTTTATCTCTGATTATTTAGAAAATAATAATAATGAATACTCCTGGATCATTAGTTCTTGGATGGTAATTTGATAAATTAATTTATATAACAGTAATTAAGTTATTGATTAATTTTTATTAATTTACTTATAAAATTTTTTAAGGGTGACACTTATATTAGGTATACAAACAAGTACAATTAATAATAATGATATTTAACTAATTATGACTATTTAAAATTACATAATATTTTAAAAAAAGCTGGCGGAGGAGCATATTATTTTGCAAAAAAAGATATTGATGCAAGAAGAAGAGCTCAAAATTTGGCTAAAATTAGACCAGAAGAAAAATTAGAGTGTAAATAAATCAAAATTTTTTAGAAAATCATATTTTTATTAATTGATTGTATTTATTTATTGATTATGATTTTATGTTAGGGTGGGAAAAAATTGAACGAGATTCCAAGAAAGATGGATCAACTTCAACATCTAATAGTACTAATGTTAACAATCCTAAAACTAATGGCAATACTAGCAGTACACCAAAAACTTCTGTTGGTGATAAAACATAGAATTACTAATAAAGATTTAATATTATTTATAAGACATTAGTCCAAAACAAAAAAATAAGATTTTTATTTACAATATAAAGATTATTTATACAGAATCTTCAAGCCAAAAAAAAAAATTAAATAAATCAATTATACAAATATTTATATATTTAAAAACTATGCAAAAAAAAAGATCCATTTACTACTTTAGATGTTAAAAAAGCCTTCAACAATATTTTCATGAGTTAATTTATAACTTCCAAAATGTTAAACATTCAGTAAAGAAATATCTAACAGTAATGACAAGCCTGGAAGCGTTTATCATTAATTAATGGCTTTTGTTGTCAGTGCTAATTTTGAGGAATTCCATAATGAGGGTTCTCAACTTCTGCCAATAAAGGAGGTCCTAACAAAATATCATGTTTCTCCTCACAACCAAAATAATGTCTCCCATCAATTGAACCGTCATTTTTTCCCCAAAAGATCATCTAATTCTACTCCAACCCATGTGCCAACAACAAAACTAGTCGGCCCAATAAAACAGATAGTTCAGGATTCCTAAATTTCTCTTAATGTCATATTAATATTCGAATAAGAATTTGTATTACAAATAGAAACTCTGTGTATTAATATTAATTACAGTTGCAAAATTCATTGTCCTAAATTTAAATAATAAATATGATGAATGACGATAATTGCATTTGAAAAATGATACCTCTTCAATTACTTCTTCAACAGGCACAGTGCAATCAACGTGTTCAAAGAAGAACAAGAAGTGAGGTGTGGAACCATTTCATGGTTGTAGATGGAGAAGCCAAATGCAATTGTTGCACCAGGCAAATATTTGTTTTTGACTTTCGAAACCATTTAATCTATATATTTGGATTGGATTTGAATCAAGTCGAATCAAATCATTTATAGATTCGAATCAGGTTCGAATCGAAATTAAACATTAGGTGATTTGAATTTCATTGATTCGTTCGGAGCCTTATTCAGCAAATAATCACCGATTATCCAGGTGCCAAATTTTTAATTTGACTGATTATCCGGGTGTTAAATTTTGATTGACCAAGTACTCAAACATCAGTTTTCCTTTGAATCTCACACCTTGCGTCTACTATTAAGCTGATATTTTATTCTTTAATTTTTTTTTTAATAAAAAAAATCTTTTGATCAATTTAGATATAATTTCTTGTAAAATTAAAATATTTTTCACTATTTTTTTTCCTCTCCTTCTTCTCCCTCTCTCTTTTTTTCTCATTAATATAATAATAAATGACATTTTATTAATTTAACAATGTGAATGAATTTTTATATACATTTATCTAATAAATAAAAAAATATAATAGCATATGATAATAAAATATAAAATATAAAATAATGACAAATAAAAATGTTTGATTATTCTCTGGCAACAACATAAACCAATATTTCTCGAGACATGGTAATAAAAGAAGAATGGATTGGTATTCTGGCATTTTCATCTACCAATTTTAAATCATAATTTCTATAAATCGAAGCCATCAAACACTTCAGTTCAAGTATCGCCAATCTTCTACCAGGGCAAATTCTCAATCCTGCACCAAACATCATAAATGAATTCTTAACAATTTCGTTTTCACCATTCAAAAATCTATCGGGATTAAATGTTTCTGGTTCTTTCCAATACTTGGGGTTGCGATGTATTGCCGGTATGTTCAGATTAAAGAATGTACCAGCCGGCCATTCATATCCTCCTACCTCTTCCTTACGCGTACTGTATCTTGATATCGTATTAGAAATAGGCACCAATCGATCTACCTCTTTTATGACTGCATCACAATACCTGAGTTTACTCAAATCTTCGTGTGTTATCTCACGTGTTTTATCGCCGTCAAATATGGAATCTATTTCTTCCACCATCTTCTTTTTCACGAGTGGATTTTTGGCAAGAAAATATGCAATAACACAAAACAAATTTGCCGTCTATTTTTATATTTTTTAAAATTAAAATTAATTAATTAAATTAATTAACAAAAATAGATCTATAAATATCCTTCCTTACAGTATCAGTGCCACCCAAAAATGCATCCAACATATTAGAGCCTATTTCCTCGTCAGTCAATGGTCGATTTAATTCTTCGCCTTCAATAGTTTTAATATGATTAAAATCACGCGTAGTATTAGCAACAAGCATTGATGTTAACATGTCATGACTTTCTATTTGACCCAATGGTATATTTTCAATTTCTTTTCTACGTTTTTTTACAACTTTATCAATTTGTCCGCTCAAATACACTCTATTATCAATTATTTTTTTGGATCTGGTTTTTGCCATTGGAAAATAGTGTCTGATAACATTTGGCACTGCTATAAAAAATGGAGCGCCAAGAAAATGCGTTCTAACTCCTTCGATAAACCTTTCTGAATCTCCTAAAATTGTTGATGGATAATCAAGATTTTTGTCGCAGAGTGTATTTAAATAACACGCCATTGAATAGGCTCTTTCGCCTGTCGTCACCACTGATATAACATCATGAGTAAATCTATGAATCCAAGATTCAAGATTGATCACAATTTTATTATCATTTTCATTTTTTAAAAGTTGCCAATATTTTTCCATTTCTTTTAATAATTTGATTGTCCAATCAAGTGACTTATTATCAAACCCGGGTGACAATATGGCTTGTGTGAAGAATTGTCTATTATATCTCCATGATTTTACGTTATAATTCATAATTATTCCTTTACCAGCTATACCAAGTTCGTCAAATCCTTTAACATAAGGCATTCTAACCAAAAAAGCATTGTTTTTAGATGCTGAGCACAATTTATCAACATGTTCCACATCACAAAAAATTATTCTTCTAGATCCTCCAATATACACCTCAAACGCTGCACCATATCTATGATTCAATTCAACAAGAAATGTTTGTAGATTTCCATTATTCCTATGGAATTCAATCGAGTTACCAATAAGTGGGAGTGGAAATGGTCCTGGCAATGGATTGATTCTTGTATAGTACTTGTAATAAAATTGCGTCACGTAAATTATCACGAGACTTAGAAAAAAAATTAACAAAGAATCAATTGATTTCAATGATTCCAACGATGAAAAGATTTTATGATGTAAAGACATTTTTTTAAAAAAAAAAGACTTTTTAGATTATTACGTGCGATTTTTAATATTAATATTAATATTAATATTATAATTAATTGGTTAAATTTCGGAACTATCTTATTGTCGATCATTTCTTTTGAATCTCACGAATAAATAATAAATATTACCAAAGTCATATATTAAATGTGTGTGTGAAAAGGAGAGCGCTCTAGATTAGATGTAATATTACGTTTCTGTGTCATATATGTTCACGGGGCGTGGATAGCATTAATCAAAAACAACACAACTTTCGCACCAAAACAATTATTCATTTCTGTACCTTTGTTATTATTATGGTTTAAACTTTCTTGGAATTAAAACTCGTCAAGGAACTATAATCATTTTTTAAGACGTCCAATTTAGAGCGTCATGATATTTTTCCTTCAAGTGTTTGAATTGTTGGAGCAACTCCATTTCTAAATAAATATAGATGAATAAATATAAAAGCAAAAAAATTGTTTTATTATTATCAATACAAATTTTATTTATTGTAATCATTATATTGATCATTGTCCATCATAGCATTAATTTCTGTGGCTCAGTCTTATGTGCAGTGTTTGAAAAAATCAATGTTTCTTTTTCCCTCCCAATACTTATCACACTTTCAAGGATGAGTGTATGGTCTTTCCACCAATGTTCTGGGTGGCAACAACAGTAGGGGTTATCAACAGGTATTCTTTTCTTTTATACTAGTTATTCAAATGGATTTCTAAACCTGTCATGGATATTTTCCATCTGATGATTTTCCCCAGGGTGCTATAAATACTATTACTATGTTTGATGACAATTTATTTTTTGTCAAAAATTTCATTTTTTTGGATAAAGATAAATTACTTGAGCTTGGATTTTTGGAACAAACAGATGAAATATTTGTATTCAAATTACAAATGGTGCTATATTAGAAATCTATACAAATTTTTTAAATCAGGAAATTTGGTTAGCAATAATAAATGTGAAGTTTTGTATAAATAACTTTTGCATCAATTATATAACCTTTACTACCAGAACCTTTTCTCTCCCTTATTTACATGTATCGATATAAATAAATCATTATTTTAAATAAAATAAACATAATTTATATTTTTAAATATACAGTAGTCAAAAATCATACAACAACAACTACAAAATTATTGAATGTGCATATTTGACATCCAATTTCAAAATAAATAAAAAATCTAAAGACATGAAATTATTATATACCTTATATATCATTATAAATAAATAATTTCATTTCCCAAGATATTTGATATAGTAACCAAATAAATAAAATAAAATAATAAATAATTTTATTATATATAATCTAATGCATCTAATTCAATCTGATGAGAATCTACAAAATATTTATTACAAGAGTGGATATTAATAAATATTATAAAATTTAAAAGTTAATTAAAATAATAATAATCAATGATTGAATGTTAATAATCACCATCATTATTATCAATAATTGTTATTTTATTGGAATTCACAGGTTGGGGAAGGTTTGTAAAATTTAATAATCTGCTAGTATAAACTGCATTTGGATGAATTTTTGCAGTAATAGTTGAAGGATCAAAATCTATTTCATCCATTTCATCAAACTCTTTTTTAATTGATTCATAATCTCCAAATTTATTATTAACTAATGAGTCAAACCAAAAATCAATAGCCTTATAAATTTCATTAGCAGTTGGACGTTTATCTGGATTAGCATCCATGCATTTGAATGCTAGTTCAATATAGACTTTTGGTGTATTTATTGTTTGAGAATCCAGGTCTTACACCTTCACATATTTTCATTGCAAGACCAACATCATGTGCCAAATTATTAAATGGTTGTTGGCCAGTTGAAATTACAGACATCAGAACTCCAAAACTATATATGTCTGATGCTGTTGTATATGGTTTCCCCCTTAAAACTTCTGGTGCAATATATGGTAGTACTCCAAATATATCATTTTTGTTTGAGGATGATGTTTGGCTAGCTGGGCATGATAATCCCAAGTCTGCAATATATGTATTCATATCTTGAAGAATATTACCACTGTGAAGGTCACGATGAATAATTCCTTCTTTGTGAATATTTTTTAAACCATTAATAATTTGATTAAGAATATTAATTTTCTCTCCCCAATTGATATTTTTAAAATCTTTAGTTAAATAATTTTGAAGACTTCCATCTTCCATATAATCCATTACAAATACATATTCATTTGTAATTGGATCTTGTGTTAATCCATAAACATGAATTATTTCTAGTTTATCATGAAGCTTCATATGATTTTTGAACTAAAATAACAAATAATATATTTAACCACATAATAAGAATCAATAATATTTAAAAATCATAAAATAATTTACCTCATTAAGAAATTCATCAGAAATATTCTGTGAATTATGTAGTTTTTTTAATGCCACAGTCTCATCTTTACTAGCTCTTTCATTCGCAGAATTTATATATTTACAACCATTTAACCAAGTAGCTTTGTATATAGTTGCAAACCCACCTTCACCTATCTTTTCAATATTTGTTAAATCATTATGAAGAATCCATTGAAGATAATAATAATTATCATACTTAGTTGCTTTAAATTGTGTACTTTTAATCAACTTATCTAATATTTCATTGCCACTAGTCCATCTTTCAGTTAATAGCTTTGGATCACATGATTGACACCATGAATAACAAGTATTATATCTATTGCATGTTGGACATTCTCCATACTTCCAACGCCTTTTGTTTGAAGATTCATCATTTTGAAGATAATCCATCACAAATATATATTCTTTTGAAATTGGATCTTGTGTTAATCCATAAACTGTATCATGAAACTTCATATAACTTTTGAACTAAAACAACAAATAAAATATTTAATTACAGTACAACAATAATATTTAAAAAATTTGAAAAAATAAAATAATTTACCTCATTAAGAAATTCATCAGAAATATTCTGTGAATTATGTAATTTTTTTAATACCACAGTCCTATCTTCACTAATTCTTCTATTTCTTTTAAAATAATAATTTATACTTTTATAACCATTTAACCAAGTAGCTATAAATATAGTTGCAAAACCACATTCATCTATCTTTTCAATATTTGTTAAATCATTATAAGAATCCATTGGAGATGATTACTATAATGATATTTATTTGCTTTAAGCTGTGTGCTTTTAATCAACTAATCCAATGTTTCATTGCCACTAGTCCATCCTTCAGTTAATAGTTTTGGATTGCATGATTGACATCATGAATACCAAGTATTATATCTATTGCAGATTGGACATTCCCCATACTTTTCATCTCTAATATGGGGCATGCTGCAACAAAACCAGACAAAGTGAACATTGGTATTACAAGAATTTCAGGGATCATAATTTAGTTATTATCATCACAATTAATTTTATAATGTCATATTTAAGCGATATACAGAATTGCCCCTATATAAAAACAATTAATATGAAGCTAATTTACATCAGATCTACTATGGAATCCAAGAATTATATCACCATTAGAAGTATTTTAAAAAAGGAACAAGATGAAAAAATTGCTCCTTATATTTTCAAAATAAAAGAAGAAAGAAAAACAATAAATGTTAGAAAAAGGTAGCAGGATGAAAGTGTGCTATTATTGCCCAACAAAAAGCAAAAATCATCAGAAGGAAAATAATCTAATTGTTACAATATTGATTTTTTTACTATATACAAAGAAAATTCTTTATGCAAATATAATTAACAACCATCATATTGTATTGCTTATCAATAAAAACATTGTTTAAATGAATTTTACATTCAAGAACATAAATCTTTGTTTTTTCTCATTGACAATGCAAGTGCTCTGACAATTTTTTAACTTATATTTTCTATTATTAGTTGAAATTATTTTCTTTTGTTTTTAATTCATTGTCCATAAATAAATTCCAAGTCATGTGTCCACTAATTTATCATTGGTCGAAATTATGCATAGAAAACAAAATCAATAAAAAAAAGTTTTTTCAATTTTTGTTTTAAAAATGACAATTTCAGAAGAAATTAAAAAAAGAATTGGACAAGGCAGAGAAAAGATTGGTTGATGTTGAAGAAAAGTTGAAGAGACTGGAGAAGTTGAGAAGGTGTAGAAAAAGAATATTACGTTGGTGAGCTACAAAATTTAGAAGGAAAAGAAGAGGAATTGGAGAAGAAGAAAGAATGGGGGGAGGAAGTAAGGAAATGGAATGAGTTGTGGAGAAAGGAATGTAATAATGAAAAAGGTAATGAACAAATTGTGTAAAAAAAAAATATACAAAAAATTATTTTCATTCATTTCATTTATTTATTTATTTGCTTGAGTGACATAATATATATTACTGTTTTGAAGTGTTGACTAACCTATGTTTTTTTTATTTCTTTGCTCTATCAATGACCTATTGAAATATATTTCTTATTGTCCATTATCTTCTATCTATTTTACATATGCATTTTTTATTCTTATTTTAACAGGAGGAAAACATTTGCTGGATAAAGGTATATATATTATCTTCAATATTTTAATTTATTATATAATTTTTATTTTTCTAACATTTTGGTCTTTTGTCATGCAAATAGGTATGTTTTGATTACTATATTTTGCATTTTAGTATTATCCATTTAGCTCACAAGATTATCACTTCCATTTTTTACTTGATATTTTCATGAAACAGAGGATGAAGGTAACTTACTAGATTTATTTGATTTTATATCTATATATTTACAATAACTCAAATTATATGTTATTACTACCAGTTCAAATAGTTAAACATAGGAAATGGGAAGTGAATGGTACTATTACTCCAGATCAATACAATAAATACTTTGTTGTAGAACCAAAATTAGATAAATTTATTGATAAGATTAAAGATGGTGAATATTTACTACTATATGGGCCATGTGCATCAGGGAAGTCAACACGTATCATGTATGCAATGCAAAAATTGCAAGAAGAGGGATATCATTGTATCTAGTAAGTTTTACTTTGTATATT